GCCTGTTGTCTGGTTCGCAGGAGTTTCAGTAGACTCAACTGCTAGTCTTGTTGCCGTGCCTCCCTCTATCTGTAGGCCAGACGCTAGAGGTGGAGTAGGAGTAGTGCCGGGAGAGCCGTTAGAGGAGATTCTCTCCTTTTGTGTTGGCATGTCTTCTGTTGTCGTAGGGGTGTTAATGAAGTTGGATCTTGCCTTGTGAGCTCTCATACCATGTTGGGATGAGAAAATCCTTTAGGATCTCTCAAGGCTAAGACCCTGGATAGGAATGTTGTAATTTCGGAAGCGTTCTTAGTGAATTTGTTGAACCAACTTGCACTAGTGTGTGAGAGCAAGAGATTGATTATAGCAAGGAATATGAAAAAGGTGCAACGAACTGTTGCGCTGTTGCGGTTCGATACAGTGACGACTCGGGCAACTGCTCAATACCGAGTTAGTTGTTTGTCCTTGCTGTCGCACTGTATTCCGTCGAGTCAAAGGTAGCTGACCTTTGACCTTCCAGTAACCTCCAGCATAGTCCAGCTGTTACTTTCTGTCAACCTCCTCGGTTGACTCACCGTTGCTTCGATGAGATTCGACTCGTTTGCAGTCTGTTGTTTCGACACAACAAGAGCGTTTAAATTACTTGTTTCCAAGAGATACGGGTGCAATCGAACGAGATGGCGAGGATTGCACTAGGTTGTCAAACGAGTACAAAGTATGAGCGAAGGCATAAGCGAATACTTGTGTGCAAACATGCAAACGGTAACGCGGTGCGTGAGAGCTAGCCAGTGCTAGGCTGGCATCTAGGTCCATGCTAGTCCCGAAGCATAGGCAGAAACGGCCGAGTGGCGAATAGTGCGCGCGAATGCTGGCGAAGCCCTGTTAGCAGTAACGAGCAAACAACGATGTTGCTGTACGCGATGTTGCTATGTGGTAAGGAATGCCGAAAAAATCCGTACAGGAGTGGTCAATCGTTCAGTGAGAACATGTTGCTACTCTACATAGTAGCCTCGTGAGCAACCCAAGCCTAGTAGTTCTTTTTGCACGAAGCCAACACCAAGCCTAGTAGAGTTTTCCAGGATAGTGTCTTGTTGTGGAAGCATCTTCCAGCATTCCTGTTTTTTCTGCTGCTACATATTCTGGCGTTGTTGGGGCGCGCATTTTCAGCAATCAATAAAATTTTAGTCTCTCATTTAGTAAGAGGTTGGTTGTTTGGCCAGCTGGAGCACCATGTTGGTTTCGTGGATCCTTGGGGACAGGTTTAAGTTGGCATTGGGATCATGGCGACATTTCTTTCGTAGACAGCAGTCCGCTTAAGTTAGAATTTCAGTGGTCAGTGTTTATGGTTCTCAACTGGCGCGCCACGTGCTGGACAGGGATGATTGACTTGCTAGCTACTACGGAAACGTAAGATGTCTGCATTTGTATATGCATCAATTACATGCTCAGCATCCTAACAATATCTAAATCTCAAGCATTCTTGAGAGGCAAACTAATAGTATCATCGAACGACCTAGTCATGTCATTGAAATCTCAATACGCCTGCTTTCGAGCGGGATAGATGAATCGCCGCGACTCCGCAACCTGCGCCCGCACCTTCGTCTTACTGCTGTCCCAATCGACCTTCCCCGTCACCACCCAATGCGCTCCCCACGAGTGCCGCGCGGCTTCCCAATCAGACCGCCCCGCCCGCTTCACCCATACGCCCGTGATGGCGCCAACCCCGGGCACATCGTAAACGGTTATGTCGTGCCAGTAGGGATTGCCCTTAACCGTGTACTTCGGCGCGGTTTTCGGGCAGCGCGTTCTCCGCCACATTACGTTCACAATGCCCGAGTCCGGGTCCGCGATCTTCTCGAATCCCGTGCGGTGAAAGTCGAAGTGGTTGTTCGGCCAGCCCTCAGACCTCGGCGTGTCGAAGTTTGTTATCGTCACCATCACCGCTTTCTTGCTTCGGCAGAAGACCTTTCCGGCGTACCGCGGCTTCGAAAGGCATTTCACCATGAAACACTGCCCGCACGCCGCGCCCTTGAAGTTGCCGATGCCGGACGTGAGTGTGTTGGACCAGCGCGGATCCGGCACCGCGACTTGCGTGCGGTTGTTCACGAAGCTGTATGGATACCCGCAATTCCCAGAGTTGCCTACGAGCATGTCGTTCCCGTAAAACGTGGCGCTGCCAAAGTGCCAGCTTTTGTCTTTAATCGGCGCGTCCTGTGTTGGCAAGCTGTCGAATTTGTACTGCGCGGAGGCGCGTAGGATGGAGGAGACGAACATCTGGAGCAAGAAGAGAGCTCCTACACGGAATTGGGATAGAGAATAGCATTTTGATTGCAGTGGCGTCATAATGGCTGGGAGGATATGCAACTTGGCTTTGTCGTCCTGAAAACTAGTATGGTTATGAACTGAATCGCGGAGTCACTGCAAGTGGTGCGAGTAGCACTGGTGTTCAAAGGCTTCAACGAAGAGTTGAAGTAGACCCGAGGTGGATCAGCTGTCTTCAGCTGAATGAGTGGTGTCGAGCTGAATTTGAATGGTGGTGCGTAGACCCAAGGGGGACGAGGGAGAGAAAGGAGGTGGCGAATGTGTTGAGAAATTCCCAACATTGTGGCCCTCTAATGCGACTCGTGCCTGCGAAAAAATTGGTTGATGCGATGCGAATGCGATGCCCGCCGTCTCCCAATTTTTGTTAGCAAACATGGAAAGGTACCCGCCCAACAATTCGTCTGGCCGCTCGCTGTGTTTGGAACCTCGTCGTTTCGCCAAGGCGAATCGCAAATGAAACATTTGGCTTGTGTGTCACTCGGCCTTGGCAAATAAGCGAAGCCAATCCGTTCAAAATCGCGACGCCTTTCCGACAGTTTTTTTCTCCTGATTGCCGTTTTGTGTCAGCATACAGACGGACGCTGCAAAGTTGGCAAGAGGCGGCAACGGTCTGTTTGTACGAGAACCAAACACTTGGTGGGAGAAAAAAAATTGAGTGCCCGCCTGAGACCGTGAGGGACTGCTGTGCGCCAACGCGTATGGATGGGTACCGAACGGCCGAGTGGGACTGGAGCTGCTGCGTAAAGGGTTTTAAAAAAGTTGTACAGTTAACACTTTCATTGGAAACATTACAAAGGATGTGAAGTATTTTCAGTTGCTATGAGGGTGGGTTCACTCTACGAGTACGGTACAGCCCCAGCTTTAGGACGCGGCACCTGTTTTCATTTTGCCAGGATCGATCGTGAGAGGGGATCGATGTGCCGCTTGTACAGTGTATTAGCGACATCGCCAATGCCTGGTATCCGTTTTTCGCTGAACGTCGAGAATGTACAGTAAACGGGTACCCAAATTGGTGGCACCTGCAGCTCGCACGATCTATGTGCCGTGGTGCATGCGTTAGGGTTGGCGGGATAGCATATCGCGCCACAGGTGACAGCCTCGATCGATCGGCGTCGCCCACGGTCGCAGGCCAAAAATTCTTGAGGACGCTGTGAAAGTAGACGAGCGATCGTCAGTAGCGATCGATGTGCGGGTCGGTTACCCTATTAACTTTGTTGTAACTATGCTACAGTACGCTTTCTGGCCAAAATTTCTGTACAGTGTGAGAATGTGACTGATCACTGTTCGCGGGAAATCTGTCAAATTTCAGCCGCGATCGTTACAACGTCGCGGTCGCCACGTTTCGCCAAACGATCTGCCCACTCGATTGTGGGGATCGATATATGCAGACGATCCTGCGATATTTGCACTTTCAACGCGTCCTGAGTCGCTGCGAATGGAATTGCTGGACGACCATCCACGCTCTGCCCCCTGATTGGCTGCGCGTTTAAGTGTAATCGTTATGGCAGCTCCCACCTGCCCGAGCCTGCAATTTCGATCCTGGCACCAGGGCCCAAAATTGGTTGAGGCCTACTCTTACAAATCAGGGTACCAGCCCCTCCTAGAACAGACCCCTGGGGTAGAATTTTCCGTAGCCTGATTTCAGCAGGGTAACTCAGGAACTAGACTGATTTGAGCAGGGTATTTTCGGGCCAATTCTGTTTTGGTTACAGTTTTGTGAGCTACGGTTTTAATAAAATCAGAAATAAAGTAATACACCCAAAGTCCATTCACTCTACAAAATTCACACATGAACTACACACCCCCTGGCTGCCTCTCAAGGGCCGTTTCTTCCGCGAGGCGGGAAGTGTATGGCCAGCACGCCAGGACTGCTGCTGCATTCTGTTGTCAAGGACAGCTTGAAGCTGTCCTTGACAGCAAATTCTGCTGTGTTGGCGGTGGGCGTGGCGACGGGTGGCAAGATTCGAGAATGAGTTGGCAGCCCTGCGGGAGAAACAACAAAAGAAGCAACATGGCGCGTTGCCGACAGCGAGGCATTGTTTTGCGCGTGGGCACAAGCGACAACCGGTGTTTGTGGGGGTGTGGTACATTTTGTCACAAAGTGGACTGTGGTCTGATTCGCGTTAGAAAAGTTTCGGTAAAAGGGTAGTGTACACCACACCCTGATTCCGTCAGCGTAACCTTAAAACCAGTCAGGGTAAAAAAAAACATGTTCTTTTAAGAGAAGGGCAACTAATTCGCATTCCTGATTTTGGCAGGGTAATCCTGAAAAAACGGCCGACCCCCAGGGTAATCAGGGCATTTTACCCTGATATTTTGGGCCCTGCCTGGCACCTATAGCTCGATGTGTCTACCCCACTGCAGATTTGCAGTGTGGGCACATCGGTGTGCCGATTGATATGCCAGGATCGATGTGAGGCCACGATCCTTATAAAATGAAAACAGGTGCCGCGTCCTTATCCAACAGCACAATTACCGTACTCGGCAGCAGTGACGCCAACATTAGGGATATGCAGAACACTAGGGATTTGAAATAGCACATAACAAAACGGGGTGATAAGCTGTGGACCGAATGTTACCATCAGACTACTTGTACATGCTATATGCCTGCCGTCTTATCTGCTAGCTTATGCTACGCTACTCCTATACCACCTCTGCATTTGCTCCTGGTAAATCAGTAAGCTCATCCCGCTCATCTGCTATACATCCTGCGGAGCAGACTCCTTTACAAGTGGTGTAAGTGATCGGACCACAATGCTCATGCTAGGACGGAAGTCACCATCATATTGCACACACAAGGCAGCTAGCGCCGCAAACTGCAAAAGGGGGGATGAACAAGAGGTATAGTATACAGGGAGAAAAATAAAGAATGCGATTCAGGCAGTGGGGGTGACAGCAGGCAAGAGGCTTGTGAATGGGCACACACCCTTTGACCCTTGGAAAAGACAGGCCTTCCAAGCAGCAGTGGCTTTTCAGAATGACTAAATTGATCCACAGGCATTTCCCACCAACAAACCTTGGCTACGGATTTTTCTGGGAAATTGCCTTTAAGCTTGGGGTCCACACATGACTTGACTCTATCCTCCGCCAATCGCCCTTGCGTTGCCTGCACACGTGCACAACCATGCCATCCGGCAGGTCACACCATGCCATCCGATACCCACCATGCCGCCCGATCCACACCATGCCATCCAATTCACACAATGCCATCCAATTCACACCATGCCACCCGATACACACCATGCCACCCGTTCACACCATGTAGAAACTCCCATGCCAATTTGCGTTCTTTATGGAAAACAGCAAAAAGACCGAGAGATCATTAAGATAACCCCCACACCCTGCCCCCCCAACAAGAAGGGGAGGGAGGGCGGTACAGAGGAGACGGGAAGAGGGGGCGTTGTCAAGCACACTCATGCATATATCCACACACACGAGCTTGCACCTGGACAATCACACACATGTGCTTGCTCCCACACCATCGCACAGACCCACCCACCCACGCACCCATGTGACGAGCGACTGTTGCCCTCGGGGCATGTTGGGGTCCACTGGCTTGCGGCCTGTGAGGAGCTCTAGCAGCACCACTCCAAAGCTGTACACGTCGCTCTTCTGCGTTAGCCGACCCAGCGTGGCATACCTGCCATAACCAACGGATGGGTGGAAGTGCGAGGAGCGAGAGGAGGGGAGAGGAACTGGGAGTGAGCAAGGAGAGTGTGTTGGGTAACACTGGGAGTGGGTCGGATAGAAAGCAGGAAGAGCGTTAGAAATTCTAGACTAGGAGCTTCGGGCTGGAGTTTGATTTGCCCATGCAATTGGCATGCAGCTACAGAACTCACTCGGGTGCGTTGTATCCGAACGTGCCGAGCACACGAGTGGACACCATGCGTGACCCTTGATCCGGTGCCTCGTTCGCCACATTGAAATCCGCAATCTTGCCCTCAAACCCCTCAAACACCAGCACGTTGGCAGACTTGACGGATTTGTGCACGAGAGACGGGTTGGCCTTCTCGTGTAGGTACTCCAGGCCCTTGGCTGCTCCCAGGGCTATCTTGACTCGCTGGTGCCATGTCAGGGTTATGGGCGGGTCGTCTGTCTTGCGCGGTACCTTGCGCCCTGGCAGCACAGGCAGCGAGGGAGACGGCGGGCAGGAGGGAGGGAGGGTGAGTGTTCTGAGGGAGGGAGATGCTGAGGGGCGGCAGGAGGTTATTTTGACGGGGAGAAATGGAGGGAGGGAGGGAGGGAAAGAGGGAGGGAGGGAGGTAGGGAGGTAGGGAAGTAGGGAGGGAGGGAGGGAGGGAGGGAGGGAGGGAGGGAGGGAGGGAGGGAGGGAGGGAGGGAGGGAGGGAGGGAGGGAGGGAGGGAGGGAGAAAGGGACGGAGCGACGCAGGGACGGAGGGTGGGGGTGAGTGAGGGCGGGAGGGGCGGAATAGAGAGGCTGAATTGAGTACGAGAACAGTGAAGAGCCGGCCCTGCTGGATTCTCAGTCCATTGGCTTCCACGCAATTTCTGGATTCCGAGTGGACACCACCTACGTGCCATATCCTTGCGTGGCCGTGACTGTTACAACGGTTATCGTATTGTAGGTGTGTTCGCATGCTTGTTAAGTCATTCTAGCCCCCCTCCTTTCCCCCCCCTCTCCTCCCCCTTTTCCCCCTTCTTTCCCTCCTCCCTTCTACCTCGCCCCTCCCGCATGGCGCAATACATGCCTTGAATTGACCGGAAAGCCACGCACGCACCGTGCAGTATGTCGTGCACGCTGCCGTGGGTGGCGTACTCGAAAACCAGAGCGCGCTGAGGGCCGTCCGCGCAAAATGCGATCATCTGCGTCACGTTCGCGTGCTGTAGCTGACTCACCGTCGCCACCTGCGCGTGTGAGGGGTGAGGGGCGAGGGGGTAGGTGTGGCAGGGTGCGGTGAGGTGTGAGGAGTGGTGGGGTACGGTGGGGGGTGAGGAGTGAGGGGAAGCTGTCACGCGATGATGAACGGGGATGGACGCGGGGACGCGCAAGGGGACGCGCAACAAGTTGTGCAAGGGGATGCGCAAGGGGATGCGCAAGGGGATGCGCAAGGGGATGCGCAAGGGGATGAGCAAGTGGACGCGCAAGGGGACGCGCAAGGGGACGGACAAGCGGCTGCGCAGGGGACGCGCAATTGTGCAAAAGGACCAAATTCCAACCACTCCCTCCCCCCCTCTCCCCCCCCCCCCTCCCCCTTTCCTCCTCTCCTTTTCAACCCCATCTCCTCCAACTCCAACCCCCCCACAAACCCCCCACAACCACCCACCCCCACCTCCCCCCCCAATCCCCCCCCGGCAAACGCACCCCTTCGAGGAACTCGTTGTCGGGCTGCGAGCTCGCTTCAAGCTTTTTCACGGCCACTGTGCGACCGTTGAGCGAGCCCTGGTACACGCGCCCGAACGACCCCTCGCCTAGCATGTTGCCCGGCGCGAAGTTGCCCGTCGCCTCCTTGAAATCGTCTATCGACTGCCGCGGCACGGTTATTTGCGACGACCGTTGCGGGCCCGACGCGATCGCGGGTTGCGATTGTGGCTGATAGGCGGGGATGGCTGCGCGCGAGGCGGAGGTTGGAACGGGGGCGGGGGTGCAGTAGGGGAGAAGGGGAGTGGAAAAGAGGGAAGGGGAAGGGGAGACGGGGATGGCTGAGTAATTAGAGACGAGGGTAAATGGGAGAAACGAGGGTTGAAAACGCGGACTGAACGGACAGCGGAGAGCAACAAGTGGATGGAAGGGTGGGTGGGGGGCAAGGCGGCTGCGTTCATACAGAAGCACTATCGTTAGGGTGCCATGATTAGCAAAACCTGAGCTGATAGGAGCACCAGAATCCAGAACCGGATACAGTTGAACTTCTGAGTCGACTCGAGTCGGAAATTCACCTGACGCTGCTACGAAAGCTTGTGGGGGCGGTACGCCCAACGTACCTGCAGAACGTACCTGCAGAACGTTCCTGCAAAACGTACTTGCAGAACATACCTGCGCCAGGATCGGGAACATCATCGTCGAACGCGAGGCACGAGCACGAGCTTCCCATCACAAACCAGCAGCGCCGACGATCAGGCTATGCAGGATATTGCGAGCGAGAAGTACTGAGCGCCGCTTGTTTTCACGAGCCTCGGAACGTGAGCGCGGCTAGGTATTGCCTTCACCAGCGCAACCTACGGGCAGCTGGGGGATACTTGAGACGTAGTCGATACTGAAGAGGTGGAGGATATTGAAGCGGTGGACGATTAAGGGGGTGAGATCTCAAGTCGCCTCTCTAGCCGTGGAGGCTACCGTTCACCCTGCTTTATCCTGGCAACGCGTGTCACTTGGCCAAGAACGACTCAGCAAAATCGTTCCCAGGCACGTCAGAGCTCCAATACTGTAGAATTGGTACGCGGAGAGAGATTCCTGCTACTCAAGAAACAGAAGCCACGCAAAAAGCTAGTAGCAATTGGCTCTTCTGAATGCTGGAATCAGACAGGCAGAAAGAAGCTAACTAGCAACTGAGCGTGTGTAGTTAGTGGTCAGGGTGTGGTCAGTGGGGGAGCGATGGGAAAATCATTTCTTCAGATGCATCCTTGGGGGTGTCGTGGGGCTGGAATCGAGTGTGGTGTAGAGTTTGGAAGGTTTCAGTAGGATTTTGCTGGGTCAAGTTGGCTCGAGTGAGGTTGGAGCAGCAGGATGCAGTTTTGTGGCTGACAGACTCCCCGCCCAGCATTGGAGGGTGGGGGGGCGCTGCTTGATTGAATTGCCTGACATGTGACGTGACAAAACCAAGGCGCCGGCTCGGCTTGGCTCCTCCAAGCCTCGGAGTTTGTTTTGCTTCTGTACATTTCCATTTCTTCCCAATCGTTCCAGCCCGAACCAGCGGGTTCCCCGCTTCCCAAACCATAAATGGTACCGTTTCCCACGAATCGTCTCGAATGCTCGCGTGCGGCTCGTCTTGGCCCTCTTCCAGACCAGGAACCACAAATCTAGGCAGCTTTGGTTGGCTGGCTTGGGCCAGTGGAAGACGGTGGTGTTGGCTGGCCACAAACTGCACGTTGATGCGTTCACAGTGTTTGACAATAATTCATGTTTTGATGTACCTAAAGCTATTACTGTACCTGCAACACTCGAAATTAAACCCCCTTAAACTTTAGTATTCCCATATTAACTTTCGGTATTGAACTTCAGTACTTGCAGTGCATAAGGTGTCATGAGAAGTCAGCAGTGTCATCCTACAGATTAACAATCAAGCAAGAATGCTGGTCAAGGTGCCCAATACAGGCCATGGAGACATAAACGCACCTGAATCATGCGGTACATAGATAACCCCCCTTTCCCACATACAGTAGATGCCTGCCACCAAGGCAGCTGTTAAATGCACCTCTCAAGACCCCATGCCACCCACAACCCTACATTCAGTCCTCGTGCTATGGCTTCTGTCATGTGATTGCCTCAGTACCCACACCAAGCATCACAACGCTCCTCATCACACCTCCCCAAGAAACTGCACCAGCTCCATTGCAGCTTTCTTCTGTTCCCCATTCTTCAATAACCACCAACAGCCTTATTACAAACAGCCTTCTTTGATTAATTTCCCATGCACCTGCCCTCCCTTCCCATCCCCTCCCCCATTTTCCCCCTTTCCCCTTCTCCCCATACATTTCGTCACCATCACCCCATTTTTCCACTCCAAACAGAATCCTCACCTCGAACGCGGACTCATTTCCCCATTCTCGTTACATAACCCCACTTGCTCTTACACTACCTACTACAGCTCTAACAGCAAATAGATCCGTTACCCACTCCCTCTCAACCACCTCGCAGACTCTCATAGATAGCCCAGCAGGTGAACAGCAGGCCCAACACCCTTTCCCTCTCCCCCTCCCACCCCACAACCCCCCTTCCCCCCCCAACCCCCTCCCCTCCCCACCCACCCCAGTCTGTCCGTGCACTTGAACAATACTACATTCCACTTATTCACGATAACCCCACCCCACCCCTCCCCTCCCTCCCCCTGTGTTTCAAGAGCCTCCCACCCCATCCCCCTCCCTCCTCGCCTCTAACGTCCAACAACACTGCCCTCACCTAAGCTCGCCCGTGAGCCCCCTGTCCCGGATCTCGCCAGCCTGCATGGGCGGGCGCTTGTCAAACGTCTGCGAGTACGACCCATTGAAGGACCCCGAGTGGCGGAAGCTCTGGGAGTTGGCCGATGCATAGCCACGCAGCAGATCCAGCAGGGCTTTTGCCTGGCGGGGAGAATGGGTGGAGATGGGTAGGTGATGAGATGGATGGGAGAAAGTGCACTGAATATGCTTGGAAAGGCTAGGCACGTAGACTTATGTGTAGCCATAGAGTGGGTGAGCAGGGGATTGACTGAGGGAGGTGGCCAGGAGGGAAGGGAGACAAGGGTCATGTGGTGAAAGAAGAAGGGGTTGGAGCAGCGGGCGAGAAAGCTAACATATTGCTTTTGGAACTGCATTGACAAGGTTGAAAACTCAATAAGTGAGGGAGGGAAACGCATGGAGAGAGAGTGGAGGGGGGAACATGAGCGGAAGTGAAGGTGGAAAGACAAAACCAATTCAAGCACACAGCCATGCGACACGTGGAAGCATGAAACCAGGGGAACACGGTCACTCAACACCGAGCTATTTCGCAAAGCAAAAGGCTTCACATGAAATCAAAAAGAGCGAGAGAGAGAAAAAAAACTGTACTCTGCTATCATTGATCCCAGGCGAGCAAAAACCGGGTTTGTGGGTGAACATGAGGCATTGAGGAAAGGTCAAAAACACAAAAGCGGGTTGTTCCAGGGAGGATCGGCCAGGCAAGGTTGACCAGATCAGATTGGAGCATGACACATAAAAAGGTAAGAGGGCAAAACCAGTTAGGCCTCTGACTACTTTCACTCTGCTTGTCATTCACTTTGTAGTCCCTCGAGAAGAAATTAAGGGAAACCAGCCCAAGCACTTACACAAGTCGCTGAAATCTCATTTTTCTTCCCTAACTTCTTTCGCTCCCTCGTATTGTCCGTTTCATCCTAACCACTTCTGTCACCGCACACCTTCCCAGCGGTCCCTTAGGCGACTTCCACACCCCATTCCAGTCGCCCCACCCCACGCACAACGCCCTATCAACAACTGCATCCGCTCGTCCCATCCATCCACGCACCTTAGCGTTGCCTCGCCCCTAAAGTCTATTTCTCAAAAGGCGCCTCCGTTTAAAAGCGCCTAATTTTGAGGCGCCTCACAAATCATCGACCAGTCCCACCATCCAACGCTCCCTGGCCTTGCGTAGGAAAAAACAAATTACTTGAAGCGCATCTTTTCATTAAGCATCTATTTCTAGTGCCGTACCATCCATCCGTCCCACATATCAAATCGCGCTTCCGCTTTCAAGCGTCTGATTCGAGGAGCTTGCCAAATAGGTCCGTCCCATCCATTCACCCAACAGCAACGCACCTTGCCCTTGCCTCGCCCGGAGCCCGACTGCGCGAGCTCACCAGCGCGGCCATGGCTCCCTCTTCCAGCTGCAGCTGGAACGTTTGAATCGACTCAAATCACAGATAGACTCGAAACACAACTGGATACAATCTCACAACGCACCTTGGCCTTGCCGCGCCCGGAGCCCGACTGCGCGAGCTTCACCAGCGCGGGCATGGCTCCCTCTTCCAGCAGCAGCTGGAACGACGCCTCGCTGTTCGTCGCCAGCAGGTGCAGCGCCACCGCCGCGTCCTCCTTCGCGCGCGACGACCCGCCGTCGATCACGTCAACCATGGCGGCGATGCCGCCCTCCGTGTGCACCGACTGCCGTCCCTCCGCCGACTTGCACAGATTCGCAATCACGGCCATGACTTTGTCCTCCATACCTGGCTCCGCGTCCGTTAAGAGCTGCACTAGGACTTTGACGGTCCCCGCGGCGATTATATCGCGTACGCACGAGGACTCCAGGGAGAGATTGAAAAGCGCGAGCGACGCGTCCTTTTTCCCGCGCAGGCTGCCGGTTTGCAGCAGGGTGATTAAGAACGGGATCGCTCCCGCGTCGCGCACCTTGCACTTGTTCTCCATGGGTCCCGACAGCGAGAACAGCGCTGCGGCTGCGTTTTCCCGAGCCGCGGGCGACCCGGTGCCAAGAACTGGCACGATGGCCTCTATCCCGCCGGCGGAGGTAATCAACGGCTCGACGCCTTCCGTTAAAGACATATTAAGCAGCGACGTGACGGCGTGCTCCACGGTGGCGGGATCGCTGGACGGGAGAAGCGCGATGAGCGCGTCGATCCCGCCGGCGGCGAGCAGCCTCGCCTTGTTCTCAGGGTTATTTTTTAGCGACGAGCGGATGGTAGCGACAGCCTCGCGCTTCTTGTCGACGTCGACGGCTTCGTCCGTGAGCGTGTCCACTAACGGGTCCATGTCGACGCGTGTCCGGTTGGGTAACGGCGAAACGCTCCGGTCCATTTGGCGGCGAGAGTTGGAGCCGGAGCGGGAGAAGGAGGAGGTGGGAGGTAAGCCCATGGAGCCCATGGTGCTAGAGGAAGTAGCTGTTTCTGTTTCAGATGCTGCTGCTGCTGCTGCTGCAGAAAAAAATGCTTAACACAAGCGTTAGGCGGGTGCTGCAATTCCAGCGCGATTAGTAGGTCCGCTAGAAGAGCTTACACATATCCGCAAGTAATAACTGAAACGAGAGAGAGGAGCCTACAAATGTCAGAACTTGACGGAACGAGGTGGAGTACGTCAGTTAAGTTAGTCAAAAGGGCGACGAAGTAACTAATATCACCTAAACAAAACGATAAATATATAGCTTAGGAACTATCAACTCGCGTCGGGGAGGAGAAAAGTTTTTAGAGAGAGGCTCTTCTGAACGTCGAAGTTGCTACTAGGGAAACGCGACAGTCACAGAACTCCAAGGAGAAGCGGTGGAGCTCCATACCAAGAAGGCTTCCACAACCAGAATTGCGTCAACTGCGGATTAGGCAGTGCGGCTGGGAGTGGTAGATAAAAAGAACTGGGCTCGACAGTCTAGATACACAGCAAAACAAGTCAGGAAGAGGAAGAAGCAGGTGGGGAATTGTTGATACTGGTGGTTCGTTTTTTAGATAGTGGTGGAAGACAGTGTGAGAGAGAAGAGTGAGGCAGGTTCGGTATGATTGCTGGCTCGCAAGGAGGTCCGGAGCGAAGCAGCTGGCTCGGAAAGGGCTGGGGAAAGGCTTGGTTTGATACGGACAACAGAGAAGGGTAAGCCAGGCAGTTTCTAGGTGGCAGTTAGGGCGCGTAACTTTTTCCATTTTCGTCAAATGTCCGGACGGAGCCTCTAAACCGGCCAGACGGAGCTCCGTCCGGACGTTTGGGAAGCAGGTCCGGACGATAGGGCGTCCGGACCACAATTGTGCAACTTGTTTATATATATATATATGTAATGGTAATTGATACATACACCGAGAAAGCTAGTGTATAAATCAAGAACAGTCGTAACTGCGCTTGGAGGCCAGGATGAATCCCGCCTCAATACGAACTCCCGGAACTGACAATTCTCCCCTTTGGCCGCGTCCAGATGGCTGCAAAGCCAGCTTTCCACGTCCACTGTTTGGCGTTTCTGTCACGGATACGGTCCAACAACCTTTGCTCCTGGCACGGCCCTCCTCCACGTGTCTTCTTCTGCCCGGAGACTCCGTCCTTTTGCATCTTCTCGCCAGCCTATTTCATGAAAACCCGCGCATGCAGCCGAAAGGCCGCCTCAATCCTCCTCAGGACCCGCCTTGTCCGGTACTTCCGATCCCGGAAAACTGCTTGACATCGTTCCACCCACAGCTGATGAATAGTGATGGCAGCCACAGTTGCTTCTGGAAATGCTGAGTCAGATGCCATGCGTTTGAGAAGGATGTCTCCCAGCGAGGAGACTGATCGCGCCGGATTGATCATGCGGAGGGCCGACTTGAGCGCTGCAACGACTGCCTGGATTTTCGGGCAGTCGTAGAGGCAGTGCTCCAGCGTCTCCTCTGCATTACAGTGCGGGCACTTGGGTTTCGAGCTGAGAAACGCCACCCTCTCCCCCACCTGAAGGTTGAAATTATGCACTCTAACAAGAACGTCGCGAGGGCGACTAGGAGTAGTAATTGAATCCCTGATCTTAACCGCCCGCTTCCAATCAATCCTCCCGCTCCAACGGCTTGCCCATTTCTCTCTCCTCCGCGCCGAGTTGCCCTGCTTCCGCCAGGCTAACCGCAGTTGCTTTAGTGGGGCCACTTGACCAAGGTGGAAGATCGGCGTATGGTGAAGCTTCTCCCCCGGGGTGATTACTGCTCTCCCCGCTCCGCCTTCCCCCAGGTTCCCCTCCGATGTGGCCAGCAGCAGTTCTTTCCAATTTTCTGGTGTTGCCTCCAAAGCCCTCAGAGCCAGCCGAGCAGGCCCCCTGCCTCCCCGCAGCTCCGCTAGGGTTTCCTCACTTTTGACCGATCTACTCCCGTCTGCTCCTGCTGTGACAAGGTCATCCAGCCACACTTCCCAGAGACTCGCCGCATCCTTCTGCCCTCCGGCTGGTGTTCTCCCATTCAGCAAAATCCCCCGGTTAAATACAATCCGCTCTGCTGCAGCTTCCATGGAGGTGACCGGCGCGCTGACAACCGCTAGTGGCGACGCCATGAAGCACTCACAGGTTTGCTTCCACCGAGCGCTTCCTTCCCCCCAATGTTTTAACAGATTTTCGTGCGATAGGAAAGAATCCAGTCCCAGCGGCAGTCCCGCCGCTTCCAGCATCATGCTCCGTTTAAAATCATCCGTCTCCGTCAGCAGAAGACCAATTTTCCTGGCCGCCAAGCATGCTTATAGGGACCCCGGGTCCCTTACACCGATACCTCCTTCTCCTCTTGGCGCAAATATAATATCCTTCCCCCATAGGATGAAACAACCCTCCGCTGACGCCTGATTGCCGGAGAGGAAGTTGTGAAACAGCTTCGTGATCCTTTTCCAGATTTCCGCCGGCGGTGGGTAAACTTGGGCTTGAAAAGCGATGATGGGGGTGATGTAGCCGTTGATGACCACCGTCTGCCATTTGCCCAGCTCCCCGAGTATCCTCTCCAGTGTTTTTTCCCACGTCACTGTGCAGTTGCCTGAAGCCGTCACCCAAACACCAAGCAGTCTCTCCGCCTCATCCGCGCTAGCCCATTTGAAGCCATCAGGTCTCCATGGCCTCCCGTTTAAGTTTCTCCCCAGCGGCATCACGAGTGATTTGTCCTTGTTCGTGGCCAAACCTAAAATGCCCTCGAAGTAATCCAGCAACTTCTCTGCTTCAGCAATTTGTGCCCTCCCCTGCAGCAACAACGTCGTGTCATCCGCGTAACCCAAGTACAGCATGCGCCAGCCAGAGTCGTTGCTGATACCAAGATGACGCTTCTCCGCTTCCTACGCCAACGGCTCCACAGCGCATAAGAAAAGGTAAGGAGCCAGGGGGCAGCCTTGCCGAACCCCCGATACCACCTCCAGAGCGTCTCCTTTCCAACCATTAACCAGCAGCCTTGTGCGTGTATCCGTGTGCAGACCTCTCACCCAGCTCACAAAAAGAGGCGGGAATCCCATCTTCTCCAGCGTCTCGAAGAGGAAGCCTCGCGAGACCGTGTCGAAGGCTTTCTTGAAGTCCACCAACAGGAGGAACCAGTCTTTGTCTCCCTTATTCGCGACATCAATAACATCCGCGACCAGGCTGACAGCATCGGAGAAGCCCCGACCTGGTATGAAGCCGTACTGCTCCTTTGAGATTACCCGGTGGAGGACCGCCTTCATTCTCTCCGCAACTACACGCGCCAGCACTTAGTAGGTGAAGTTCAACAGCGTAATCGGACGGTAGTTGTTCAGCTGACATTTCTCCCCCTTTTTATGTAATAAAATTGTCACTGCCTCCTCGGTGCTTGCACGAAGCGAAGCCGACACCTCGAATTCGTGAGCAAGCTCCATGAAGCCTTTACCGAGAATGTCCCAGTGCAGCTCAAACAGCTCTTTCGGAATCCCGTCCAGGCCCGGCGACTTCCTGCACGCCAGCATCTTGAAAGCATGGCGGACCTCCTCTTCCGTCCAACGCTTTACCAGCCCGTCCGCCTCTCCAGCAGATAACCTCCGCTTCGGCTTCCAATTTGATCGGTGAGTCCTTTTGTCTGCGCCAAAAATCTCATTAAAATACTCCTCGCCTGCCTGCAGAATAACCTGTATGTCACTGATCACCTTGCCGTTGACATTTAACTCCGCGATTTGCGTGCGTTGCTTTCGAGCTTTCACCTTCCCCGACAAATGCTTCGAGGCAATCTCCCCCTTCAGTTTCGCGTCAAAACCCGCCATCAGATGCAGCCTGTCGCAACGGGAAGCCTGATACTCCTTCAGTTGAAGTTCCCGAACTCCCAGAAGCTCCCGTAGGCGCGGGCAGTCAGGCGCACCCATCACCTCCTGCTTCAATCTCGCCACTGCTACCGAAAGATGATGCAGGGTTTCCTTAACCCTCTTTTTTTCCTCCTTTGCATATGCCTTGAGCCCAGCGTTCAGCCTTGCCAGCAGCAGAGCATAATCCCCTCCTGACTGCTTGACTGCAGCTTCCACCAACTTCCGCACCCCTGGCCTGTTGACCAGATGTACAGGGAGCCTCCATACACCGGGACCCGTCTTCGCCTTGGAGCTGCAGCGGAAGGCAACCCGAATGGCGAAGCCATGATCCGAAATGGGGTCGTCCGGTGAGATATGATCTGCAGACGTCAGGCTGGAGAGGAGGGACTGCGACAACAGAGCCCGGTCGATCCGCGTGCTGGCCCTCTTCGCCTGCAACATCAAGGTAAAGTCTCTCCTGTTAGGGTATAACGTGCGGAAAGCATATGAAATATGGAAACTCCCGCATCTCCTGACCAGCTTGCCGTTGCCTGCTACTGATCCCGCTCGTGACGTCTTATCTAGAAATGGATCTTCCACCATATTGAGGTCACCGACTAGTAGGAGGTGACTGCCTTGAGCTACCTGATCTACAACTGGACCTACGACATCCCTAATGAAGATGGTGCGCGCCGCTGGAGACAATGGGAAATAAGCCGCTAAAAGGGTAATACTAAGACCTTTCCCTACTACTGTCAAAATTAGATTAGAACCTAGGAAACTAGGTGAGGGTGTCGAGAGTAGCGAGAGGGAAGAGAGGTTCAATAAAGAGCAAAGGTACAAAGATATAGGCAAGAACTAGGGTAATGAGGTGCACCACCAAACGGGAAACATAACTACACTAACACTACAGACAATTATATAAATATGAATAACATATTTCGACACACCCCCATAGTTGTTTGTAGGTGTGAGTGTAGTAACGCCCCCTAAAGAGGGTACACCATGCAGAGTGCAGCGGAAGTAGCATCAGTAGGCAGGAGCAGTGACAACCAGTGCAGTGGTAGCAGATTCAGCAGTAGCAACCCTGAGCCAAAGCAGAAAAAGTAGCAAGT